CCAGTGCACAGGGGGACAATCACTCTAGGTCCAGGTGGGGCGAGGGCGGAGCCCCTGTGCCATGTCTGAGGACCAGCACACGAGGCCACACTCACGGGGGCTCGCCCTGACCGGCTGGGGTGTACAGAGCAGCCTGTGTGGTGGCTTGTGTACTCTTCACACGCCCCTTCACAGCAGGTGCTGGGTTACACACACCATCCTGCAGGCGAGGACCCGGAGGCTCAGTGGGGCCACCGACCCCCACGATGACTGGGCACGACACCAGCCTGCCTCGAGAGGCAACACTTGCCCACGGACCTGGGCACATACTCGATCCCTTCACAGTCTTGCAGGAAGGGTGCAGGGCGGCCAGACTGCTTCCTGGAGGGACGCAAGCACTCAGCACCTCACCTGTGGGCGCAGGTCCTGGAGCCCAAACACAAATCTTGTGCAGCAGGGACACTGGGGGGCAGCGAGCAAAGGCGTGACCTGCCTTTGTCCACAAGCCCTCAGATCCCACGTCTCCAGCAACAGGCCAGCTGTGAGCCGACAGGAGCCAGAGGGGAACACGTGTGAGGGAACACCCTTCCAGGTGTGGAGAAAAAGCAATGAGACGCGGCTGGAAAGGTCCCATCTTTAACTACAAATTGCTTTTAATTAAAAGAACCGAGGGAGCCGCAGGGCGCTTCTCCCTGTGCAGAGGGACTTTCTGCAGCTCAGATGTTCCCAGGCCGAGGCTCGGCCCCACTGCTCTGGAAGGAAACCAGCGTTGAGTCATGCATGATTCCCACCCTGCGTAATTCCTGTAATTCCTAAAAGTTATGCGATGTGTTACGTAGTGAAATAAAATTTTAAAACGTCTTTTGGTGAATGTGTTTTATAAACTCCCCCTGACACTCCATTTGCCAGGCCCGGTAGCTGATGGAAACCAGGCCACAGACAATCAGAGCCACTGCGGGCGGTGCTGTGGCAGTAACACGTGCTCCCCGAGTCCTCGAAACCTCAGACGGAGCAGTCTGCTTTGCATTTGGTGGAAAAAGTGGTGCGTCCATATCAATCTTTTCCAGCCATATCTGTATTGCCAGTCGTCGCTGGCAACTGAACACGAGGATCCGTCCATGGTCAGCCAACTTCCAAAGGACAGAAAATTCAAGGTCTGAACTGGGGCCCTTTTGAAACTGAAGTGACGTCTAATAATAATTATGCTGAGACAAGACTGAAATCCAGGAGTGGCCCGCGCCCACGGGACAGCGATGGTCCCAGGCTCCCTCCATCCCAGCTGGACCCTGAGGACCCACAGTCAGATCGAAACAACCATTTGTTGGTAACTCTTCATTAATTTATCCAAATCAAATGATAGCTGTTAAAGTGTACATTTTTTCAAACACACACTAGCTGCCCCAGGGAAAAATCAGCTCTTGTTATATGTTCATAATTAATTTTTTTCCTATTCTTACAAAGAGACGCTGGGAAGATAAGTGTCTCATTTCAGAAAAGCATGTTTCCCAGAACCTTTGCTTTTTGATCCATGAACTGCTGAAGCATCTGTCCTAAACCAAAACCGTTAGAACAACAAGGCACACCAGGTCTAAGGCTTTATGAACTTTAAATGCTGAGACACGACATCTAATATTTTAGAGGATTTAAATATCCTGTAGATGAAAATAAAAACAAAACCAGTCAGACCACATCATGGTGCCAGGCTCTGGGAAACTGAAGTCATTAACACCTTTCTGTGAAGAACGAAAATCTGCATGTGCCGGAAATCATTTGTATAAAAACCTGATTAAGCAGGTTTTTTTCCAATTTTGCCTGAGCTAAGGCTCGGGATCTGTGACACCTGAAGGGGAAGTTGCTTCTGAGCACACAGGCACTTCCCGCAAAGCGCTGGCTTCTGCAAATGCCTCCTGAATGGCCCGCAGGAGAAAGACCCTGCTGCCTGGTGCCGACTCATTCGGAAGACGCCATTCCTGGAGTTTCTAGTCATGCGGGGCGCTAATGATCAGAGGAAATTATCAACTCATATGGGACTTCGTGGCCACTCATAAGGAAGCTCAATCGCTCTACCAGGATTACGTAGAGAGGAGGCGAAATCTCTCAGGGTCCCACTGGCTCCTGGGGACCAAGTCACAGATTCGCTGCAGCAACGAGGAGAAGCAGCCGCCAGCCCCATCAGAGTCCCTGAAACTTCAACTTATCGGCAACAGAACTGGGAAAGTTCACCTAGTTCCACCGAGGAAACCAAGGCTTGGAGAGCGAATGAGGGGTGAGCAGGGACCAGAAGCACATCACGGGACTCCCCCCACGTGCCCCTTCTGCTCCATCAGGTCACCAAGCGCTCAGGTCTGCAGACCTCCACCAGCTTAATTCAGCATCAGGCAGGCGCAGGGTATCCGTGAAAAGATGTGGAGTCTTCCACATATTCCTGAAACACCTGTAATTTAGGAGATGTAGCAAAACACAAGAAGGGAAAGGAGGATGTGAAGGCTGGCTCGTCAGGGCCGAGGAAGCTGGGTGGGAGGACTGCAAAGCTGCGTGTGTCCCAAGGACCTGGACCCGCCGAGGGAGGGTGTGCACGGCGTCTTCTCCATTTCCATCTGCCGCTCAGTCCTCTCTCTCAGAGCAGAGACCTGAACAGACCTCAGGTTTCCAAGCACGACACTTATGGCAGTAAGAGGCAGCATTTGCTTCGGGCAGATCTGAGCAGGTGAGGTCGGCGAATTTATTCCTCTGATGTGGTGTGTGTGACATGCATCAGTGCCAAGAAAATCAGCCACGGGATTTTAAAACAGACAGGCAAAACAGGGTATTAATAAAAATCACACTATCCATCTCATGATTGTGGAGACCTCCTCCACCCCATCCTCCAAAAATTAGAATTTCCATCCACCAAGTTTAAACTGACACGGGAGGCGGATTAAATTGCCTTAAATTTGCTCCAACAAGCATAGAAATTTAAGTGTTTAAAGCATTTCTCACAATTTGGAATTTTGTACGTGGGGAAAAGTCAACCTTGAGAATCTTAACACTTAAGGAGAAAAGAAAAATGGAAGGCACTCTCGGGGGTGCGGTCTGGGACGCGCAGTCACTTCCCCCACCGTTCAGAGCAGGTGCCGACCCTCCAGCTCAGGCCCTGAGCCAGGTTAGCAGCAGCTGGGGGGACCTGAGACTCTCCCCTCCTCCGAGGTCAGGCCAGGGCAGAGCCACCCTGGGGCGATTTTCTTCTGCAACAGGAGCGGGAGGCATCTCTGCTTGCGGCCTAACAAGGATTGATTATTGACGGCTCAGACTCATCCGCCAGGCTCAGAGGCAGCTAGTGCTTCACCACACAGCCCAGAATTGAGGCCATCAGGAGTATTTGTGCTTATTTTTGTTTCACTTTGTTAGATGAGACCATACAAAATTACATTTAGCAACAAATGTTACAGAACATTATTACATTTGTTTTGGGGAGAATTCAATGATTACTCAGGCGAGTATTTAGAGAATTCTTTAGCATCAGTAAAGTCACAGAATTGGTTTACGAAAGACAGGTAGCTCCACGTGCAACGTGATCTCCTGGATCGGGGCCTGGGGCAGGAAGGTACCTGGTGGAAAGGCTGGTTCGATGGTCTGTGGCTGAGTTACAGCACTGCACCATTGGTAATTTTCAGTTCTAACAAATGTACCACGTAAGAGGCTGACCTTTGGGGAGACAGGGGAAGGGTACAGAGGAATTCTCCATACTGTTATGTGCAACTTTTCTTTAAGTCTAAAATTATTCCAAAATAAAAGGCTTATTTAAAAAACTATCCTCATCAATGAGGAGAAAGCATGCATTATTGTCCTGATGTCTGAGGGCAGAGCTTGACTTGTCCTTTCATTGTCTTTCATTTTTTTAAACCACTCCACTGTGGTGTAACTGACACGGGAAAAGCTGCACAAATTTAATGTACACAACTTGATGAGTCTGAAGAAGAGAACACACCCAGGAAACCATCCCCTCAATCTGTGCCACAAACACATCCTCTGCCTCCAAAGTGAAAGACACCAAGCTTTGGGGAGGGTGTGGAGACAAGGGAGCCGTCCAGCACCGCTGGTGGGAGCGTAAAACCCAAACAGTATGGAGTTCCTAAGAAGAAGTTAAAAGTGGAACAATCCTATGGTTTAGCAATTACTCTTCTGGGTATTTATCCAAAGAAAACGAAATCTGGATCTGAAGACATCTGTATTCCACGTTCACTGACTGCAGTATTACTCACAACAGCTGGGACGTGGACGCAGTCTAAATGCCCAGGGATGGATGAACGGGTAAGGAAAGTGGTTTATCATACAATGGAATATTATTCAGGCTTAAAAAGCAGGAAATCCTTTCACTTATTTTTAATGGCAGAAAGTTCCATCAACACTGTAGGTGACCTGCATCGAAGTTTGTAGAAACCTGAAGCTCTCAGGTTTTCAGTTTGTTTGGAGTTCTCACAGAAAGTAGAATTGCTTTAATTGATACACTCTAGGCTGGGCACCCACATTAGAGTTGGTCAGTTTTGGGAGAATGGTGTTGGTGAGAACTGGAAAAATAGAATTGTAAACTACAGCATTCAGCATTAAATTCGTATTACGGATCCTAATAACTTGGGCTGTTTGTTTAGTCAATAAAACGTGGAAAAAATGAGGGGAAGAATAACTTTTAAATTTCATTATTTGGCCATTAAATTAGAAATATCTGAAGAGAAGGGTTTTGTTTGTTTTTTTGATCTTCTATCATATAATTCACGCTTTAAGACATAAAGCCTTCTGCGTCCCCACCTCCGAATCAGCTACCTTAGACAGGAAAACTCTGTAACATTCAAATGGCTGTTTGAATTGCAAGAGAGAAACGGATTAATTTGTGAAGGATTAGCCAGCAGACCCACAAGCAGAGCTCTTGTCAACCATGCAGGGCCTCTTCCAAACAGATGTGATCACCGCTGCCCTGACACGAGCGACCTTGTGAGCAACCCCCCCCCCCCCCGACCCCCATGCAATCCTGAAGGTGTCCTTACCGGAGGGGAGCTGAAAATGTAGAAGGACGCGCCTCTCAGGGCCAGGAACTTGGGTCTGAAGGTCTGAGAGGAGTCGGCGCCTTCCAGTCTCTCGTTGACCCACCCCATATGTACGACCTGCAGAGGGAAACCTTTAAAATTAAAAACCAAGCCTTACTAAGAGCACACCGTCGCAGGGGTAGACAGAACAAACCAGCAAGTTGTCCACCCACTAAGTCAGCATCCTCAAAGCCAGGGGGACCTGGGCAAGTCGAGGTCAGCTTCCAACTCTTCCATCAAGCAGACACCATACAAACGTGTAACATCTTGAATTAAACACCCACAGTTCTGCACTGGGGCAGCTCTGTATCGGGCCAGCTTCCACACAGGAGTTTCTACACGCTTTTAGTTTTGACTTCTCAGCTGTATTACAGTTGTACATTCCATAGATATATTTTGGTTTTTTTGCTGAGGAAGCGTCACCCTGAGCTGACATCTGTTGCCAATCTTCCCCTTTTTGCTGGAGGAAGACTCTCCCTGAGCTAACCTCTGTGCCAATCTTCCTCTAGTTTGTATGTAGGTCACCATCACAGCACGGCCACCAACAAGCGGTGTAGGTCTGCACCCAGGAACCAAACTCGGGCTGCAGAAGCGGAGCACACTGAACTTAACCACCATGCCACGGAGCCGGCCGCCTATATACATTTTTAGAACACAGTATTTAATTACATTCTATTGCTATTACTGCAATCCAGTGGATTCTGACTCTTAGCACCCTGTGTATAGCAGAGCGGAACCCTTGCTTGTCTATTTGCGCCACCCTTTCACCTTCCGGCGCTGTATCAGATGATGCTCCACTGAGATCCACAGGGTTTTCATGGCCAGTTTTTTCAGAAGTGGGTGGCCAGGTCCTTCTTCCTAGTGTGTCTCAGTCTGGAAGCTCCACTGAAACCTGTCCACCATGGGTGACCCTGCTGCTATTTGAAATCCCAGTGGCACAGCTTTCAGCATCACGGCGTCATGCAGCCACCACAGTATGACGACCGACAGGTGGTGGTGTGGTTCCCTGACCAGGAAAGGAACCCAGGCCACAGCTGTGAGAGCACCGGACCTTAACCCCTAGACCACCAGGCTGGCTACATTCTATTAGGGGTTAGTATTCCAGATTTGTCTATGATGCTGCCAAAACAGCTAATACATTTTCTGTTTCTATAGTAAACATATTGTTGACATATGTGGAAAAAGATGTTTCTTTATAGTTCAACTTCCTAACAACAGTGAGTATAAATACAAAAATAATAGATTCTTACACTTGATAAATACTTTTAATCTTGTGACACAGAATACAAACTATAACCACTCAGAATATGATTCGAAAAGTTAATAAACAATAATATGATTTAAGAATTCAGTGCATGAATTCAAACCAATATTAAGCTAAAATCCCTGTGTCTTATCTAAAATTTTAATGCGACTTATATTTTGTAGAAAGTGGTAAGGATAATTTCATTTTAATTTTCTTATTTCCTCATTATGCCATGTTAAGAAAAATGAAATAATTAACATTTTTATGGAGTAAATATTTAAAACAACTTGCATATTTAAACAAAATTAAAAATAAATTTTCATAGACATGCCAACCACTTTCTGAAATGACACTGTCCTATGCACTGTCTCAAGGTGGGGCAGCCTTCAGGTCTGCGCACCTGTGCTCCCTAGTGCTCTCGATGACAGCCAGCTGGGGCTCGAGGTAGATGGTTCCTGTCTCCATCTGTTACTTAAGAAATCAGTGACAGCTTTCAATCTTACATCTGGTGAAAGACTGCCTAGGTCAAGAAGCCAGATGAAATTGTACAAAAATCAGATTTCCACAAACAGGATTCCTAGTGATGGAAAAAGAGATGCAGGCGTTGATTCTGTGGAGAGTGGAGCCTGAGCCGCACAGTCAAGGCTACTCTGGTTTGAGTGTTGAACACTAGTAATCTAACGCCTTCAAAGCTGTGACGTGTCTTGTCAGGCTGTCCGAGATAGACAGAGCTCTTTAAAGTAACCCAAGTTTCCCAGTGGCCCATGAACTTGTAAGTTGCTTATGGTTGAGCATGAAGATTTAGGAACCACAGCAGCGTGATAAGATGTTAATGTTATCGTGGACAGTTTTATTAGTAGTAGACGAGACAATTTCATTTCATGTGTCCTTTGACACATTTAACATCTCTAGGTCTCTGTTTTTCCCTCATAAGATGGACTAGAATGACCTCACCTGATAATTGTGAGAATTTTATGCTGCACCACAGGAAACCCTGTCCCGGGGGGCTGGGAGGTAGGAGGCCAGTACCAGCCTGTCCGGGTGGCATCAGAACCTGAAAACCACTCAGCACAGCCGACTCCTTGAATGTCTCGTGGATTTGAAACCAAGTACACAGATTATTTAAAAATTTCTAATTGACTTTTTCCATTTTTGTCCCATTGGGACATATGGATACACTTTTGTTGTTTATAACACTAGCATTAACACTGCTGTAAATCATAAGATGTGCTCAATTCCCATCGTTAAAAAATGTTTTATTTTAGTCGGGTTGTTTGTTTTCTTGCCATTGAGTTTTAAGATAAGAAACATCTCATTTTCTCAAGCAAATTTAGCAGATCCTTGCTGTTTCTAACCTGAACACGGATTCAACGGGTGACTATTGCCTTCCACACTCACTATTGCATGAGTGCAATGATTCCTACAATTTAAATAGGATTAATTTTAAACGTATGTTCTAACGTAAGTGTTACAGCCTTATCTTCTGAATAGCAGCGATTACAACCCACTGCACAAGTCTGTTTGGGGAGCACATGAAGCGGGTGAAGGACCTTACTCTGCGCCATGTGATCTGGCACGTAAACAGCGGGCCTCTCACCTTCCAGCAGGACTGCAGGAGCCTTCACTCCGTGCCCTCACAGCCCTTCCCTCTGGGTCCACGTTAGACCACACGCTCTTTACGTGTCCTCTACTCTACATGTGCAGGATGGCAGAGCACGCCTGTACCCTAGCTCTTGAAAGAACGCGTGTGTGACTCTCCATCTGCTCCCTACCTGCATCCTCACAAGCAGTTATGTGGCTACAGCAGGGAAGATGTGCCTATTGCATTTACCAGCCTGGCTGAGCAGCAGACCTTTCTTTCAACGATTACCATAAAAGTGTGGAGCCAGAATTTCTAGATAACACAGGAAATTGTTTAAATTCTAAATTATCGCAAACTTTAAGTCAGCAGAAAGCACAAAAATCTGCTTTGATACTATATTTATTACTGAAGATCTAACCCAGAATCTTTTCATACTGCTGAGTTAGAGACGGCAGGTGGGGATAGGAAACAACCACAGCGCAGAAGAAAACACTAGGGATGGAGACAGGATGCCCTTGGCAAGTCTCCAGCCACGTGGCAAGGTCCCTCAAACTTGTAAAACCAGTGTTTCCTCTGGGGGAAACTCCTAATAATGAAGCCTTCAGCTCTGGGTCTGATCAGACTCACATGCCGTGGGAGGGGAGTTACAGCAGTGCTTTGCCCGCGGGGAAGACAAACCTCACTGGGTTTCCCTGTATTTTTTAAATCAGGTATTCAAATGCTGCCAAGTCTCCCCCGTCTTCCTCTTTCTTTTCATGAACTGCTTATGCATATCCTGCAATTTAGATTTCACAGCGGGGGAGTGATGAACTGGAGCCTGATATGTAGGAACGTACCTTAAGACAGGGCTATGATAGCCACCCACATGTACGTAAATATAGACAGACAGATGAGAAATGATAGATCGATCGATCGATCGATCGACTGATCAGGGTGAGTAGAAAGTAGAAGTTGTAAGTTCCAGGGGAAATGGAGACCTGGGGTCCTTCTCCAGCAGAGGAGCAGCAAGCATCCTTTCAGAGAGGAGCACTCACTGAGGGACACACTGACGTCTACTTCCCACTCAGCATGAGAGCAGCTCCACTTCTCTGGAGCCCCAGGTACTGGTGTGGAGTTCAAGAACAAGCCTCTGGAAGCCGTGGACCCAGCACCCTGCTTTCTGCACCCTCTCCTTTGACTCTGCTGTCTTCCTCTTCCAGGGTTAGGCAATTTGTTGTCATGTTTGTCTTCCCAAATCCGGGTAAATATGGTGCTGGGCACAGCGTTCAACAGGAATTATACATCGAGGAGTGAACGAGGAGCTCCTTTTCTGCCCACGATGGTGATGTACCAATTGTTAATAATCTGAAATGTCTATAAATTGGATGTCAACTTAATTAAACTCCATATGTAATTTAATTCTGTTCAGATTAATTAGCCAAGAAATAAGTTATAGCTTAGCTATTATTGGAAACATTGGCTGCTTTATGAATCTTTTTTAGGTATATGCAGTTCATAAATAATTTTAAGAGAAGCTAATTTTATCTTTTACATTATGAATTTTGTAATGGCTTATTACATGTTCCAAGAAATGTATATTATAATTTTATGAACACCTACCTGATTGTGCCACCATAATTAAATCAAGAGGACATAACCATTGTAATAAAGGAGCATATTTTCATTTATCTTTTTTGATGCTATTTCTATAGGAAAGTTCTTTCTCTTTTTTTTCCCCACCTGGATGAGTCGCGATAACTATTTAAGCATCCTTCAGATGGTAACCGCACAGCTGTCTTTTCCTTTACACGGAAAAGGCCAGAATTACCTGAGTTATTTAGGTTTCCTTTGGATTTAGAAATGAAGGCATCCATAGTTGCCTTTAATTTAGGTTTTCTGGATGAGGTTTACTTTGGAAATGTGCAGGCTTGCCTGCTATTTTAGCAGGGTGAGCGTGTGTTCTGGCTTGCCTGGGACAATTCTAAATTTATGCCTGTTGTCTTAGCATCGTTTTTAGGTTGGTCTCCATCCCAGAAAGAAGTGCCCCAGTTGAGATGACAAATTACATGGTGATGTTTGTTACCAGATAAGACTCTAAAAATCCACCCTCCAGGCCTTTTTATTACCTTTCTAACTCTGGTTTTTTGTTGTTGTTGGCCAATTTCAGTGGTTGTCAAATGTTTTTATTTTTTTCATATTTGTCCAAATAATATTTCTTTGCTACATACCAAAATCAAGAATTAATTGTTCAGAATGAGCAAAAAAATTCCTTCCTGATTTTAAAGGGCTCAAACATCATAACTCCTATAACACATACAAAACGTTCAGTTTTGGAGAAAACATAAAGTAATCCTCTACCAAAAACACGTCTGGATATGGCTGGGGTGAGTTCTCCAATAATCCCACATAGTGAGCTCGTCTCTAACATTTCTCTCTGAATAAACTAATTCAAGGTCCCAAGTAAATTCAAAGTAACCACAGAAATTTTGAGATTAAAAAAAAGACTTTAGATGACCTGTTACAGCTTTCTTATTTTATGGATGCAGAAACTGGGGCTCAGAGGTTAACCTGTTCAAACTGCAGCACCAGAGAAGGGGTTAGCTGGAATTAGAATCCAGGTTTTAGTCAAGTAAGGCCACCAAGACTGACTCCACACAAACAAGGTTTACTGTGTGATAAGATTTCATAAGACAGAACACAAGCAAGATGACCCCACGGCCGCGGAGGTCTTTGAACCATAATTCATTAATGTTCCCTGAACTGGGAACTTTGCTCCTCAATTTTACGTTTCTCTGAACCTTATATCATGTACTCTCTTGTGACACAAGGATAAAGAGGAGTTAAGTTTCAAAGAGAAACAAAGCAAATTCGATTTCCCAACACGCCAGGTAACTGAAGTACAGCCATGCGAATCCAAGGGTCCCCCCAAATCCATTAGGGTCAAGTCCTGCGCAGGCCTCAGGTCACAGGCCTGCTCTCCATGTGGTGGGCGCTCACATGGCATTGCAGGTCACTGACCACGAGCCACCTGTCTGCCTCGTCACAGTCACAGAGAGAACCATCTCCCCACCAAGGATGGCACCAGAGCTGCCGCAAGGAGGGCCAGCTGGAGCCACTGCCTCCTGTGGTCTCAGAAGTGTCTCCATTTACCATCCAAAGACTCTCACGGGCCATTTTGTTAATTTGATTTCGCCAACAGAAACCCAATTTCAAAATGGAAAATTCCTCTGGACACAAGAGCACCGATCTGGTCCACTCTCCCACCAGCCTTGGAAAATAAATCCAGAGAAGACATGGTTTGGTATGAATGTGGAGACAGGTGTTCTCGGTGGAAAAGTCTATGAGAAACCTCTGTTTTAGAAACACAAAACACAGCAGGAAAACAAGATTTTGCGTATAAGAATATGAAATGAATCCTATGTTAATTAAGACATTCATGGAAATATTACTCATTAAATAGCTAACCACCCTCATTTAACTACGTGAAACAAAAATAGTTGATCGTAGATTTAGAAAAATATTACATGAAACAAAACTTACATTTAGAGCAACTTTTCTTAGAGTTTCTTTTCTAATTTAAAAATGTCACCTACAGGGGTTTAATTTAAACATGGCCCTAATTTCCTATCTTTTACAACAAACATTTGATTAGTAGAGACTTGTCTTCAGTTTGAATTGAAGTTCTATCAGTAAGCACTATTTAAAGAGTGTTTATAAGCACTATTTAAAGCAAACAACACATTGTTTTCGGTGTTTTTAACTTGAGGCTACAATGCTTACTTCCTCAAACCTATGAAAGCACAATGAGCTATAAGTAAACACATTTGCTGACATTATAGCTTAAACCGTGAGTTTATCAGAAAGGAGACGGAAGAAGTATGTAGTGGCTTCAAAGTCTATCTGATACTCAAACTGCTGATAATGAATAGCTCATGATTCCTAAGTTCTTACAGACCTAGTCGATGAGCAGTCCTTGAGGTAGGGAGTCAGAGTATTAAAAGCTGGTCTTTGCTTTGAGGAGTGAGCTGAGGAGTCCCAAAGAGGCGGCTGTTGCCATGACTGTGGGTCAGCGTAAGAACGCTGCCTCGAGGTGCACACACTGCCTGTGTCGGGGTGAGGGGTCCCCGCCCCCTGCAATAATATCTGCTGGGTCAGGGCCCTCTCAAGAGCAAAGCTCCCAAAGGAGGAATTTGTCTAAGAAAATTACATGATGCTTAAGATTCCAAATTACAGGGCCGCTCTGGGGCCGAGTGGTTAAGTTTGCAGGTTCTGCTTGGGCGGCCCAGGGTTTCATAGGTTTGGATCCCGGGTGCGGACATGGCACAACCAGAAGGACGCACAACTAGAACATACCACTATGTCCTGGGGGCTTTGGGAGGAAGAAGAAGAAGAAGAAAAAGAAGAGTTTGGCCACAGATGTCAGCTCAGGTGCCAGTCTTTAAAAAACAAAAAAGATGCCAAATTACCTAGGTGCATCTCCTTCTTAAAATCACTTTCAGCTTAAAAAATCATCTCTGCATTATTGTTTGATCATGTTTCCTTATAAAACATAACTGCCGATAGGTAACTCATCTATAACGTGGCACGCCCGGGAGAACAGAACAACCCTTCTTATATTATTTCCACGACAAATGGGCAGTTTTACGGAGTTAACATTGAGGGCGAGGACCCCCGACTTCAGCCTGGTGTGCCAAAGTTTCCCCACCAAAATTTCCAAATCAAATTCCAAAAACAGAAAGAGGTTACTTTTTGGGATTTGTTATCTGGTCAACATGAAAAACAGGAATCCTACCTGGTCACAAGGAGAACAGCATTTATTTGCCATTTTCATCTGCAAAGAGAAGGAAGCAGGAGTCATTATGACAAGCACACTAAAGCCATAATTTTCCAACCTAACTGATAACTGAAGTCAACTAGCCACAGGGAGTGTCTTTGGGAATAAATTTATTTTATGATTCATTTCTCACCTGAAAATCAAACCAGAGTAAATACAAATATAATGGAATAAACAATGTTATTTAAATTATTATGTTTCAAATACCAGCATTTTGTGTAGGTGAAGCTATGGGACAGTAGATGCTTAAATTTCAACATCTGAAAAAATGAGGAAAATGATTTCTGAATCTTAGGTAATTACAGTTTTCCCAATTGTTCCTTTGTTTAATTCTCCCATAAATCTTGCAAAGTAGATATTATTTTCCAAAATTCTACCAGTGAGGAAGTGGCGGTCCAGAATAATATGCCCAAGTCTACAGACTTAGAAAGTCACTTCGAACCCACGTTTCTGGTTCTAGGGTGTCTGAGCATCTTCTCTCTGTTCTGCCTCCTAGCTAGGATGTGAGGACCCTCTAGAGATGAGGGCTCTCACTGTCACACGCATTTCTGCAAATACCAATCTACCATCATTTGTTCATTTATTTTTTCCTTTTCATTTTGTCCATCCAGATACTTTTGGAATTCAAAATGTCAAGTTTGAAAACTAAGATCTGAGAGAGGTTCTGGTACCTCCTTATGTAAGCGAAGGAAGAAAGCAAGCCTCTGAGGGCTGTAGAATAGAAATCTAACCTAGTGCCGCTTTCCCGAATATTTTACTGTGCACAGTCAACCTCTGTTTAGCAGCCTCCAGGACAAGGAACAAGGTAGGTCCATGGAAGAAGACGGCCAGGTGGGTCAGGAGTGGTGGCTGGCTGCACAGTGTGAGCCCCAAGGCCCAGGGTTCTCCTGTCACCAGCTGGCCGGTGGGGGGATTGAGAGGCAAATGCAGTCAAGGGGCAAGTCAACTGGAGGGAATGAGAACCAGAAAATTGGTCAAAGGCCACCTGTGGCCAAGGGTGGGTCCGGCTCCGACCTCCCACAGCCGTGGCCATCAAGTCAGTGCCACAGACAGCGGTTGCTTTAAGGAACTTATTACTTTACTGATTTCCACTCACACCCCATCTCTTTTTATTCCTTTTTAAAAATTATTTTCCTATTGACTTTGACTGTGAAACAGATCACTCAAGGAGACAGAGGACTTTTTCTTTCCTGGATGCCTGCAGTGAAAACTTGAGAAGTAATACTTTTGGTTAGATATGCCTCTTTATAAGTTTTCATTATGTTTCAGAGAATTACATCTTTAACCCAATTAGGATCCCCAAATAAAAATGCCACATTACATTGATGCATTTGGATAAAGTACATATACTCGCATATGTACAAATATTTCTGTGTTTGTGCATGGAAAGGAAGAGAGAGAGGGAAGGACAAGGAGAGAGACTGAGAGAGAGAGAGAGGGAGGGAGAGAAAGACGGAGGGAGAGAGAACCAGCTATAAGTTTTCCAAATGTTTGATTTAGCCCATAGTCTTATATTAGGAAACATTTAGATGACTTAATTTTTAACTCTTTTTAGTCACAGATTTGGTATGTTGATAATAAAAGTACATATTCCTCTGTGTAATATTATAACCAACCATTTAGTGTCAATCATAAATAACAAAAGATCCTAATCATTTTCGTGGACTAGAGGGCGAGAGCAGGAAGCCGCGCAGGTCTCTGTGCTCACGTTTTGCAGCGTCAGGTCGCTGATGTTCGCTGACACTGCTCTCAGCCAGTCGGCGCTCTCCTGGGCTGTGTAAAACTGAAGGACCCCCGTGCTGACCCCGTCCAGGGCCAGCACCTCGAACGCACTGGACCTGCAGGAAGAGGAGAGAGCGATGCTGTGCAAGGAGGCCCTCACACGCGTTTCCTCACAACAGGGAGGGCGGAGGGGCAAGCGGGTCCTCAGGCCTCATGCCCACAGCCCCCCAGTAAGCGCCTCAGCCCCGCTGTGCTCGAGTTGACCTGTCGGTCACTACAGGGAAGCCCAACAGACAGTTGTTACATAACTAACCTGATTCAGTAGGTTTACTGAAATCAAGCTCAAAACTTTGAAATCCCTAAGAGTTATTTCTAATTCAATAAAAATATGAAACGCAAATTTATATAGGAAATAACTCACTTTTGTAGAAATTTTGGAGTTCTTGTTTTATGGGGTCCTTAGTAATAATACTTTCGAAGACCATTTATTGTGATATTTAAAGCTCTGGACACAATGATGATGGGCAAGTCAAGCGCCATCATTACTCAGCACAGATGATGTTTTATGACCACACATTGAGTTCTGATTTATAATAAAGCTTTTGAAAAGGTTGGTTCTCCTTCTTTTCTTCCATGAAAACCACCTTGCCACAAATCCTACCATGGCAAATTATTCATGACAGCAAAATAATTGTTTCTAATGTAGAAGTTCTTCCCTATCTTGCAAAGACATTTTCAAAGATAATTTACGTATAACTATTGTTATGGATTGAATTGTCACCCAAATTAGTATGTTGAAGGCCTAATCCCCAGTGTGGATGTGTTTTGAGATGGAGCCGCTGATAAATAAATGGCAAGCAATAGGATATATTGTAGATATCAGGAAGCCATTTAATGTAAAATTAATTCAGACTGACTTTGTTTTTCCAAAGGGCCTGGTGTGGCCGTTGAGCATGCATTGTATCTCTGCTTTAAGCATTTGCTCTTTCCCAAAGACAAGAACAACACCCTTTAAGATAAAGAAAGATGTAACTTCCCCTACATGGGCACATCCTTAAGGATAAGCATCTCTCCCCAGACTAGGGATTGACAGCTGACCTGCTGTGACCACCCAGCTGGAGACCACAGACCTGCCACCTTCTGTGTCCATCAATCGCTTTGTGAATCACTGTGCTGGCGAAGCGATCTCAAGACTGTTGTAAAAGGGACATTCCAATCACATGATATGCGCTCTTTGACGATATATAGCCACTGTGTACACCCCACTTTGGAGTACTCCCTTCCTTTGGGAAAGGACTCTCCCAGGCTATATGGTCCTCAGATCTGGCTCATAATAAACTCATCCTAATTTTGATTATAGATTGGTTATGGATTATTTGTGTCGACACCTCTAAGGCAAGAATTAAGATTAGGTGAGGACAGAGGGGTGAGGCCTTGATCCAACAGGTCTAGCTCCATATAAGAAGAGAAACCAGAGACCTCTCTCCACCACGTGAGGACACAATTAGAAGGTGGCCATTGGCAAGCCAGGAAAAGAGCTCTCGCCAGAAACCGGACTTCCGGCCTCCAGAACTGTGAGAAGATAAGTTTCTGTTGTTTAAGCTGCCCGGTCTGTGGTATTTTCCGATGGCAGCCCAAGCTGACTTAGACAACTCTTAGAAACGAGGAATGTCATTTACACTTCTGTTCATTCTTTCTTAAGAAAACAGTGCACATTAATCCATGCAGCCTATACCTTCATGTCCTTAAGCAGATAAACGAAAGGACAAAAAAATGATACAATAAATCAAACACACTTTTTTAAAAACAAGGTCTGCACTAAATTATGTTTTCATAATCTTTCCGATGTGAATTTAATCAGGCTTTTGTTAAGCAGGGAGAAGGACGGAAGAGAAGAAGGAACTGGAGACATTATAAAGCGGTTCTGCCTGTTCTTGAGCTGAATCTACCAGACAAGATTTCCTTTAAGGAAACAACCCTCCTCTCTTCACAAGCAGATTTCCCTGAAGAGGCAGCATTCCCACCTTGATTAGCATTGCTCAAATCAGAACTTAAGGTTCATCTACAGACAAGTGTGTCATTGCCCCCATCCCTGCTCCTGAGTCCTGGCTCACAGACTTCACCTGGGGGGGGACAGGCCATAAAACCTACAGCTCCTGATCTAGTTCCAAAAGGCTGTAGAGCATGGAGAAGTTCAGGATTATTGGCACACTCAAACACTGTAGGGGCTGTGATGAAAGGCAACTGGAAGGAGGTCCACAGATTGGATGAATGCAGCCTAAACTGTTAGCTGGCTACTTTTCTGGAGAAAACCTGGGACTGAGGTAGCAGAAGGACCTCTCCTGGCATCAGAACAAATCTCAAACACTGACTCCAGGAACTACTCCTTCAAGGGAACCCGGATTTGACTGGATTATTCTGTAGAGCCATTTATGCCACAAAGCATTGTTGAAAACAACAGACCAATCAGCTGGAAATCAGTGAAGTTGAGCAGCTGGCTGCTCAGGGATGGAGACAAAGGGACCCCATCAAATGCCACCATCATCCCAGGGTGGCTGTGGGCAGACCCCGACTGCACCTCCATGAGCCCACCATCAGAGGCTTGACACTCCTGTGGGGGAGGGTTTGGGAGAGACTTTGCTAAAATAATCCACCCAGTCAGTTAACAACAAAAATAATGATAACAAGCCCAGGTTGGGGTGCGGGTTAGCACCAGTACCCCGAGTTGCTAGAGACACGAGAGTATGATGTATACACTGGGTCTGTGAAGTGCCCAGAGGTCACATTAAGCAGAAAGTTATACATATGTTCAAGGAACTAAAGGAAACCACGTTTAAAGAAACAAAGGTATGTGACAATGTCACATGAAGTTGAGAATACCAATAAACAGAGAGAAACTACAAGAAAGACCCCAATAGATACACTGGAGTTAAAAAGTATAATAACTGAAAGGAAAAATTTGCTAGAGAGGCTCAGTAGTAGATTCCAACCAACAGAAGAATTAGCGAACTCTAAGATAGACTGACAGAGTTCACGCAACCCAAAGAACAGAAAAAGAATGAAGGAAAATCATGCAAGCCTCTGAGAAATGTGAGGTTCTGTCAAGTGCAACAACATAGGCAAAATGGGAGAACCAGAAGGAGAGGAGAGAGAAAGGAGCAGAAAAAATATTCTAAGTAATAATGGCTGAAAACTTCCCCAATTTATTGAAAAATACTAACCTACAAATCCAGGAAGCTCCAATAACTCCAAACAGGATAAACACAAGTAGATCCACAAATAACTTATAATGTTAACAATGTTGAAAATAAAAGACAAGGGAGAAATCTTACAGCAGCAAGAGAAAAATAACTTGTCACTTACAAGGGATCCCCCAAGCCAGCTGACTTCTCAGCAGACACAGAGGAGGCCAGAAGACAGCAGGACAATAGGTGCAAAGCAAAAACCTGTCAACCCGGTAAAAATATAGAAACCAACACAGCTCTAGCCACCAAAGCTGTCTTTCAAAAATGAAGGTGAGATAAAGACATTCCCACGTAAACAAAAGTGAGGAAATTTGTTGCTAGTAAAACCTCCTTACAAGAAATGCTGACGGATTCTTTAGGCTGAAATCAGGTGACTCCTGACAATAATTTGAATCCACGTGAAAAAGCAAAGATCACCAGAGAAAGCAATAATGTAATTATAAAAGGCAAGATACATAGTTTTCTCCTTTCTTGTTGTAAATAATGTGAAGAGTAATTGTATAAAATAATTTGTCTATGATGTATTGCGGGGCCTATAAAATGTAGAAATGTAATATATGAGCATATATGTAATTCATGTCTAATATATTTGCTAATAACAGCACAAGGAAGTAGGTGGGAGTAAGCCTGTAATGAGCTAAAGAATTGAAAACAAATAGTAAATTAATAATTAATTAGCTTGATTGTGGTAATGATTTCACAATGTATACATACATCAAAACATCACGTTGTGCATCTTAAACATATACAATTTTTATTTGCCAATCATACCTCAATAAAGCTGGAAAAAAAGACAATTTAAAGCCAAAAAATTATAACTTTGTTGGATTTGTGATATCAATAGATATAACACGCATAACAATAATAGTGGCAAGATAAGAGTAACATTTCTGTATATTACTGGAATTAAACCAGTATGAATCTCAAGCTGATTCCGATAAGTTAAGATGTACGTGCTGAGTCCTACAGCAACCACTAAAATATTAATATATATATATAAGTATATATATATATAAAGAAAAAATCATTAAAGAAATTTAAATGCTTATTAGAAAATATTCATATAAGAGAAAGCAGGAAAAGAGAAACAGAGAAACAAAAAAGACATGGGACCTATAGAAAATAAAAAGCAAAATGGCACATATAGACCCAACTATAACAAAAATAACATATATTTTACTGGTTAAACAATCCAATCAAAAAGTAGAGACTTTTAGACCAAATAGAAAAAATAAGATCCAACTATATTTTCATCTTCAAGAGACATACTTTAGATTTAAAGATACAAATAGATTAAAAATAAAAGATGGAAAAAAGATCTATCATACAAACAGAGCAAACACAGGAAAGCTGGAGTGCTTGTACTAATATCATAGAAAACAGAATTTAAAACTAAAATTTTACTAGAAATGAAGAGGAACAGTTTAAAAAGATAAATAGTTAACCAATCAGGAAGATACAACTATTATAAAAATATATGCACCTAAAAACAGAACATCAAAACACACGGAGCAAAAAACAGTGATAAAAGGAGAAATAGAAAATTCAACAATAATAGTGAAGGCTTCAATGCCCCACTTTTCATAACGGCTAGAAAAACTAGGCAGAAGATCAACAAGAAAATAGAAGATTTGAACAACACTAAAAACCAACTAGATCCCGCAACATGTATGGAACCCTCCACGCAATAACAACAGAACATACATTATTTTCAAGTGCAGACAGAACATTCTCTAGAATAGACCATATGCTAGGCCATAAAAAAAAACCCCTCAGGGCCAGCCCAGTGGCGTAGTGGTTAAGTTCATGCACTCCACATTTGTGGTCCAGGGTTTGAGGTTTCAGATTCTGAGCATGGACCTACACACCAC